GTGTGTGTGTGTGTGTGTGTGTGTGTGTGTGTGTATGTGTGTGTGTCTGAAAGCTACTGAATTTTATTTATCTTTTTTATAAGCACTTTATTGAACTTTTTTCTCTAAGCCATGTTTTACAATTGATTTGCCTGGATTTTCTATGTAGACAGTAATATCCTCCACAGACACTGATACATTTATCTCATTCTTTTAATAGGTAAGACCTTTTTATCCCTGCCTTTCTAATTTAGCTAGAGTTTTCAAAATGATATTAAGTAACAATGGTTGAGAGAGGCATCCTCTAACATTTCATTACCATTTGTGATGCTGGCTATTGAACTGAATTAGATAATACCCACTCAGCTTGTTCAAGAAATATTCCTGGCTTCCCTAAGAAATTTTATCTAGAACTGATATGATTTTTATGAACTCTCTTCACGTCATTTACTGAGATGATCACTTGGTTTTCTTCCTTTGACCTACTGCTAATAAATTTTACTAATTAAATCTTAATATTACAGTGAACTTACTTTCTTAAACATAATCCTTACTTGGTCACAATGTCCTATACAAAAAAATACTGCTCAATTCAATTGGCTGGTATTTTAGTATTTTTATATTTACTTTTATGAATGACACTGATCTACAGGTTGTTTCAGATTATTCTTACCAGGTTTTGTTTTTGGCATCATGCTAGCTTCTAAACTTTCCTTTTTTTCTATGCTCTGGAAAATAAAGCATAGGAAAATTTCTTGAAAGATGAGAGAACTAATCTATGAAACCATCAGCACTTGGTGTCTTCACTGAAGAAACTTGATTGCATATTCAATTTCAGATATTTTACTATTTAAGTAAATTTTAGTTATTTATAATTCCCTCAAATATTGGCCATTTCAATCACACAGTTGGCCCTAGAACAAGATGTGTTTGAACTGCACAGGTCTGCCTGTACCGGGATTTTCTTCCACTTCTGCCATCCTGAGAGAGCAAAACCAATCCTTCCTCTTCCTCCTCCTCGGCCTACTCAACATGAAGATGACAAGGATGAAGACCTTTATGATGATCTCTTCCATTCAATGAATAGTAAATGTATTTTCTCTTCCTTATAATTTTCTTCATAACATTTTCTTTTCTCTAGCTTACTTTATTAAGAGAATATAGCATATAATGCACATAAATACAAAATACGTGTTAATTGTTTATGTTATTGGTAGGGCTTCCTGTTAACAGTAAGCTATTAGTAATTAAGTTTGGGAGGAGTTAAAAGTTATACGCAAAATTTGACTGCATGGAGAGTTGGCATCCATAATCCCCACATTGTTCAAGGATCAACTGTACATTAAAATGTATTAGAAGGAGTTATCTTTATCATTCACTTAGACTGATTTAACCTCTTCCATTTAATTTGCCTAGAATTTAGAAGTATATTAAAATTACCCACTAACACTGCTTCTATCAATTTCTCCTTATTATTCAAATGATTATACTTTTATCTTTATTTGCGCTATTATTTGGCACATGTGTTACCTAGCTTGTACAAAATAATCTTTGCTGTACTATTTTAAACTTTTTTTGTTCTTTATTTATATTTTGTATAATAGTAATCCTGTCTTCCTCACCTCTTTTGGGCTAGGGATAACAGCTATATATTTGCCAATCTGTTTTCTTCCACGCTTTCTACCCTGCTGTTTTAAGTCTGCAGTATGTATCAGCTGGTGATATTTTGGTTTTTAACCCAATCTAATAGTTTGTTTCTTTTAATAGGAGTATTTTTATCCATTTAGATTTCTTGTTACTGAAACTGATTTGCTTGTTCTTGCTTGGTATATTTATCCCTTTCAGGGTTTTGTGCATCTTTGAAATGTCCTTGCTTTTACAGGGTAGTGATGTAGCCCTTGAAAAATTTTTGCAAAGAAAAGAAAAGCACACATAATTTCACACAGAATTTCAAAGTGCTCATAGTCTCTGAAGCCCATCCATGTATTCCTATGGTTCTACGGACCCCAATATAAAGATCTCTGTTCTAGATGTTACTTTTACATTGGAAAATACATATTTTGACCACATTTTCTATAATTTTCATTTTAGAAATGTAAGACTAGTGTAATATTAGGAAATCTATCAATATAAATTTTAGTTTATTTATGTAAAAGACCCAGTTTATGATAACTATATATTATGTATCTTTTGCCAAGAATTCATTATGTTTCCTATTAATAGTACAGCAATTATTTAGTATTATATAGTTAACAAGTTACAATGTTTAATATAAATACTCTTCTGTGTCTTCTGCGC